CAATGTCTTCATGTCTTCCTTGCATCTCACTGCTATTTCGGGACCATTTTCTCAGCATACTCATAAAAATCCTCAGCAGTGAAGCTCAATCCATCAGAACAACTAGCTAGCACTACTTGTAATCCTGTACAGACTACTGCATCCTTCTCCCAGTTCTTGAAGACTTGAGCTCCTATCTCACTGTTACTCCTTCCAACACTACTGCTGTCATAATTCTGTGTTTTCTAGATTTCTCTCAGTTTTCGACCTCTTCTCCTCCAAAGATCTTGATCTATGCTTTACTTCACCCACTTCCTCCCATAATCCTATTTATAGAGCAGTGGTTCTCAAAATGTGGTCCCTGGACCAATATCGTCAGCATTACCTGGGAACATGTTATAAATATGAATTGTCAGACCCCACCCCAGACTATTGAGTCCGAAACTCTGGGGCTGGGATCCATAAATCTGTTTTAAGAAGCACTTCAGGTAATTCTGATGAATGTGAAAATTCATCAGATCTTGTGATTGTGATTAACAATAACTCTCCAGTCTCAATTTCAAGCATCCTGCCCTCCATGTGTCTACTGCCTTCTGTCTTCATAGCTCACTTGATCTACTCTCCCAACTTCTAAATTCTTCAACCCCATTGAGACCACAATTTATTGATTCTACCACTTTTTCACTAGTCCTTACCCCTCATGTCCTCACTTTCCCCTTATCCAGCCACACATTTGACTATTCTTTGTTCTCTTTCACATACCATATCCAGCAAGTAAACAAATCTTGTCAGCTCTCCCTTCAAAATATATCTAGAATCTGACTTTTCTTATAACCTCCACTTCAACCACTCCAGTCTAAGCAAAATCATTTCCCATCAGAATATGGCAACTGTTCTTGCTTTGTCAATCCTTGCCCTTACTGTATCTACTTTCCACACAGCAGCTAGAGTGATCCTTTTAATACCCAAGGTTATTTTGCTGCACTGCTCAGAATTCTCCATGCTTCTCCTCTCAGAACAGAAGCCAAAGTCCTTATAAATCCCTACAAGGCTCTGGGTGATCTGACCCTCCCTGGCGAGACAGTCATTTCTTCTACCTTTATCCTTTCTCTCTCCCACTACTGAGCTGTATGTTTATCATTAGATTTTATTACCGCTTGACATACTCTGAATTCTCTTGCTTATTTCTGTCTCCCACTATTGGAGTGGAAGCTTCATGAGGTCAGAGGCTTTCTTGTTTACTGATAGAGCCTCAGCTTCTAGAACCCTGCCTGGCAAATAGCAGGCATGCGGTTATTTGTGAATAAATGAATGGATGTCATTGTTATCTATATGGACTAAGGCTAACATCACCCTTTTATTCATTCATCAAATATTTGATCATCTATTATGTGCCCTGCACTTAGGAGATAGTACACAGAGAAGAATTCCAGAGAGTTTCCAGTCCAATAGGAAAAAACAAATAAATAGATGTAAAATTACAACAGTGTAAGAATCAAGATTGGGAAGTGAATGGACCTGTAAGGACAAATGATGCCCTTTTATATATATATGTTTAAAGCCAACAAGCCTTCAACTACAATGTGTTTACCCTCACACGCCCCAAATGACTGTTTCTCATTTCCACAGACTTCTGCTATCCCCACATGGTCATGGTGTAGGAAGAGGGGAAATAAAAGTTGGTTTTTTTGGTAACAACATTTGGGGACTGCCATTCAGGGCCTAGACTCCTTCCTTACTGGATCTGCCCCTGCTTGGGAAATGAAGCACGGTATTCCAGTAAATTTACCAGGTGAGGTAAACCTAATTTGGATATTTAGTGTGTCTTGGGCTCTGGGGTTTAGAATAAGTTTCTTGTCCTGGTCATGTTTTAATGAAAGTGAGCCCTAGATTTATCTGCTTAGTCTTTCCTGATTAAAGGACAATAATACCTTATGGCAGTTTTTTGGTTTTTTTGGTGAGGAAGATCGGCCCTGAGCTAACACACCTGTTGCCAATCCTCCTCTTTTTGCTTGAGGAAGACTGGCCCTGAGTTAACATCTGTGCCAATCCTCCTCTATTATTATTATTTTTATAAGCGGGACGCTGCCACAGCATGACTTGATAAGTGGTGCATAGGTCCGCACCCGGGATCCGACCCGTGAACCCAGGGCTGCAGAAGCGAAGCATAGGAACTTAACCACTATACCACCAGGCTGGCCCCCAGGTTTTTTTTTTAACCTGATCCAGAATCACACACTGCATTTAGTTGTCATCTTTTTAGTCTATTTTAATCTGAACAGTAGCTCAGCTTTTCTTTATCTTTCATGGCCTTGACATTTTTGAGGAGTTTAAGGCAGTTATGTTGAGAATGCCTCTCAGCTCAGGTTTGTCTGCGTGTTTCATCATGTTAGATGCACGTTACGCACTTTGGGCAGGAATACCTGGAACGTGTGTGTCCTTCTCCGTGCTGTGGATCACATATCACGAGGCCCATGCATCCATTTGTACCATTCAGGGTATTGTTAACTTTGATCACGTGACTAAGGTCGTGTCTGCTGGGTTTCCCTACAGTAAATGTCTCTTTTTACCATTTGTAATGAGAGCAGTAAGCAGGGACAGAATTTAAGAATAAGTAAATATTTTGTTTCCCAAGTGACTGTCACTGATGGTTTTAGCATCTATTGCTGATTCTTGCCTGAATCCATTGTTCTTATGATGGTTGAAAATAGTGATTTTTCTAACTCTATAATTTCTCACATTTTTATTAGTAGTCATTCTTCCATAAGACAGAGTTTTCCCTTCTGCCCTTTAGTATGATATATTACTGTCTTTATTCCATTTTGTATTGTCCCAGGTTTGGCCAGCGGGTGTCCCAAGATATTGGATCCTTCATCAGAGTTTTTATGTATAAATGATATAAAAAAAATAGTTAATAGAGGCACATAGAGGAAAGTGGGGGCGAGAAGCTGGAGAGGGGAATTCTGTTGGTGATTAGGAAAGGCTTCAGTGAGAAAGCAGTATTTAAAGTGAGCTTTGAAAAAAGGGTAGAATTTTCACAGAAATAGCAATAAGGTAGAGTGGAAAGGGAAAACCGTCTGAACAAAGTAAGGCCTGGCATTCCTGGTATTTGGCAAGTAATACAGTGGGGCCGGAGCATGGTGGGGAAGCTGAAATGTGAACGGAAACCTCTGCACTTAGCTTCGTGCTTTTGCCCATGCTGGTCTCACTGCTTATAATTTCCTTGCTCACTCCATCCTTGCTGTTTTGCTAAGAGGTAGGATGAGGTGTGAGGAGTGAATTCTAAGTGAAAACAGCATAGCCACAAGCCCCACTCAAATACTCCCTTCTCCAGGAAGCCTTTTCCAGTTCCCTAATAAGAATTAACCACCCTCCTCTATACACTCCCATGGCACCTTGCGCCTCTCTGTTAACAAGTCACTCTGTCTTGTGCTGTATTTGTGGCTATATCTTCCTCCTTTAAAGCATGAACCACATCTTAATTGCTTTGCCCCTCTTTCCCGTACTCAGCACAAATGCTCAATAAATGTTTCTTGAATATGTGAGAGAGAGGAAGGAGAAGAGGGTAGGTTGGTGTTGGTTGGAGGAGGGCTCTGAATGGCATTTTAAGGGATTCAGGCTTGCTGTGCACGCAGTGATGAGCCATGGCAGCTTTTGAACGGTGCAGGGCTCATCAGAGCTGTGATGCCAGAGGGTGTGGCGGAAGGGGAGGTGCCCGTGCAGTGGCCCCGGAGAACGCTGAGCCAGAGGGCGACAGCCACAAAAGACAGAAGGCATGGAAACAAATAGTTACCAGCTCACGAATTTGGGCACTCATTTGAATGTAGGAATTGAAAAAAAGGAAGGAATTGAGCACCGTTTTGAGGTTTCAAGACTGGGTAATGAGGAGACTGACAGAGGCTTCTAACTAAAATAGGGAGCCCAGGGCCAATTACAGAGAATTTAAAGAGTTCAGCATGGTCTTATCTCTTCCTCACCCAGTACTTACTCTGAATTCAAAACAGAATGTGCTGTTGAAAGATTTTATTGTATCAAATGTGGTGAGAAATGAAACATTATCTCTACTTGAAGCACAAAAAACTGACTTTGGTGTAATGGACATTTTTCATTTGGCTTTCCTAATGGTTTTATTAAAAAGGGATGTTAGTAACTGCTTTTTTAACCTTGCAACTCGGCCCTGTGAGAGCAGTTTACCATGAAAGAAACAGTCCTCAGCTTTCTTTTGGCTCCTCTGGCCGTCCTGCCCCTTCCTAACAACAGAAAATTTGCTTTGCACCTGCTCCAACTGGGTTCTAAGTGATAAGCATCTTGCAAGCCCAGAAAATTGTAGTATCAAATCTCAGCCCCAACTGTGAGGCAGCACTATCATCGAATCCCCGCTGAGAGGCGTTGCTTTCCCAGTTCCCAGGGGAAGAGTCCTTTCTCCTCTGGCCCCTTTTCAGGCTTGAACTCCAACCTAAACCCTCTTTTTAGCTCCCAGCATGCATTGCTCTGGGTGCTGGCCCTGACCTGGCCCTGCTTACACATCTGCAACCTGGGCTCATCCGCAGGTCAGGCCTGGGTAGCCCTGGGGTCAGTGGAGTGCCTAATTCCAATAATGAGGGCATTTATCTAAGGAGAGAATATGGACCTCTCTCTTTGTTACAGTCCATTGCTTTTTTCCCCAGAAACAAATGCTAAAGGAACATTTCGTATATTATCTGTGATTTGGTAATAATATATAAACATTGCCTAATATTCACAAAGTTGCTTTCATTCATTTCTTCCTTTATAAATTAAATGTTTTGTTATCACTCATTATTTATTTTAAGAAGGATATACCTTTCTCACTGTGAGGAAAATGTAAATATTTTAAAATAATGGTATATTCAGGAAAACTCTTGTAAGAATTTCAAATAAAAATAGCAAATGCTATTTAAATGGGTGTAGAGCATTCTAACTGGACTTAGTGTATGGTTTTAAAGGGAAAGAAAAAGTACTAACAGAGACTTTATAGCTTTCTCTTTATGTTTTCCTCTTAGGTTTTTCAAACAGACCAAAGTCATTAAAAATATTCCTTAACCCCCAAAGCCACAAAAAAGAAGCTACTCAGGTCTATTATGAGAAGGTTGAACCACTGTTGAAAATTGCAGGAATAAAGACTGATGTAACAAGTAAGTTCTTTTCAGAATATTATTTTGCCACTTAAAAAATCATACTTAAGGAAGCAAAATGACCTGAATTTATCTTAATCCAAATTTCGGAAGCTGCTTGTAATGTCTAAAGCATTTTTACGTGCTTCCATAACCGCAGTCAACTCCAGGATTATAATTTAATTATTTTGTTTTCTTTTTTATTGTGTTATTTTTATTAGAATATCAATATTTTTCTCTTTAGACCATTTTTCAGGCTTTAAAAATTATTAGGTATCATTTTAAAGGGAGCTGCACACTTTTTGATATCTTCATTGAGACGTTTGCTATTTATGCAGTATTTCTGCAGTTTGGCAAGGAGTTGCTTTTTGCTCACTTAAATGTTTGATGCCTTTCCATGGAATCCTTCCTTAGGAGGTTTTTGTTCTGACTCTGACCCCTGCTGGTTAGGTCAAAACTAAGCACTTAACTGCTGGTTTTAGATGAATTTAGAGAAGCCAGAAGCTTAAATTCATTGTCTAAAATAAGAAAGGTGTTTAAGTTTGTGCCGAGGAAAATAGAAATTGGCTAATGCTAAATTTAATAGAAGATTAGTAAAATCCTTTTCAACTTTTGAGTTTGGTGACCAAATTTCTTTGTTTCCTTGAGACTCTAATTTTTCCCGTGGGGGATGGACTGAGAGGGAGAGTTGATGCCTTCGAGAATCACACCCTCAATTTTTCTGGTCTTATTTCTATGTAGCTTCGCTGACACACAGTGTAAATTTGTATTAAATTTTAATTGATGAAGAGTATTGCATATTAAGCCTACTCAGGAGACAAGACCAGAGTGCACTTGGAATCTCCTAGTCCCGAATATAAATTCCTGGGGAGGGGATTCAGTGACCTGGCTTTGCTCAGCTGTAACCAAGGGAGATGGGTCTCACTATATAAATAAAGTCGTTGAAGCCCATATTTCATGACTTAATATATTAGGGTAGTAGGAAGTTCCTCAAAAAAATTTTTTTAAGGCAATCTTTGTGGGAAGGTCAGCTACCCCAAACGGCATCTACTACAATGGAGGTTCGAAGAAACTACCATGAAAAACTCAAGAGGAATTTCTGAATTAAAATAAAATTGTAGTGGAGGAGTTAACCTTTCATCTTTGTGATTTTTGGATTACTTAGAGGTGATTTATAAGACAAAGAAACAGTTCAGATCTATCATTCCTTTCCACTGAAGATTTTCAAAGATTGGTGGAAGGAAAAGTTCGAAATTCATATTATAATGAGATAATTAAAAATTGAATAAACTTACTGGCAAACTCAATAACATTATTTTGTTTCATTGATTTAATATCCAGAACAGTTTTACATGGATATTACTATGTATCCTTCAGTTCAAGAAACTCTTGTTGAATGCTTTGTGTTAAACAATATGCAGAATGCAAGGTGAATAAGGTGTACTGCCTGCTCTTGAGTGACCTTTAGTTTATTAGGGATCCAAGTACAATCATGGGTTGCTTAATAATGGGGATACGTTCTGAAAAATGCCTTGTTAGGTGATTTCATCGTTGTGCAAATGTCATAGAGTATACTTACGCAAACCTAGATGGTATAGCCTACTATACACCTAGGCTATATGGGACTAATCTTAAAACAACACAATTGTATAAGCGATCTATTGTTGACTGAAACATCATTACGTGATGCATGACTGTAGATATTTAAAATAAATATACTTTGGATATACATAAAAGAACTCTGGTGTCTCAGAGGATGATATTAATTTTGATCAGAAGACTCAAGAAAATTATTTGAACTGGACACTTGGACTGGACAGTTTTGGAGAGTCAGAGAAAGCAAAAAATGGTTTTCTGTTCAAAGCAGAAGAAAAGTGAGAGAAAGAAGGCAAGCTAGCAGGCACATACAAGTGGGGTGTGTATGTGTGTGTCGTACCCATAACGTTTTGGGAGTTCTTTCATAACTTTGCTTTGCCTTCCTCAGTTTTGACTTCATCTTAAATCTGGTCCTTTCCATCATCATAAAATGGCTGCCAGTGGGTCAGATCCTTCTTTATTCCAATCTAGTGGGGTGGGGAAAGGTGTGTGTATGTGAGAGACCCAACATTCTCTAATCCTGAACAGGGATTAATATTTCTTCCTTTCAGTTTGACTGTCCTAATATAGGAGGTATGCCCAGTCTGGAGCAATCACTCTCTTAACTATCAAGACCCTTTCCACTGGCTGAGGGTGCGACCCCCTTTTCCTAAAGGCTGAGGATATCAGAACTGAATTTGTGTTCTTTTAGTGAGGAAAAAGGACAGAAGGGCTACTGGGAAGGTTCCCAGCAATGTACAGTAGAGGAAATTTGAGTCCAGATTATGGAGGGATCTTTATGCTATACTCAGGAGTTTACTCGTCATTCATTGACCCCAAGTTGGTGTAAATTTTTTATCGTAGTGTTGTAATCTGGTTTAGCAAGGATGAATCTGCTAGTAGAATAGCGATTAAGGAGAGAGAGAGATTGGAGGAAAGGAAACTGGTACATGAGGCCTGACCTAAGGCAGAGGAAATGATAAGAATGTGCTTTCTTTCTTAAAACACTTGTACTGGAGAGAAAAATATGTTCTAAGACTTTTTTTTCCCTAAATTTGTAAATGTTATTGAATATTATATTTAGTTTAACATAAAATAAAATTGGAGTATTACGTAAAGGAAACTTAGAATTTACTTATATATTTGTGCAGAATGGCTAATTATTAGCTGCCTAACACTCCTCCTACAGGCAAAATTATAAAATTACATCTTTTGCTTATAAAACCGTTTTAGTATGTATATTGGCTAAATATTTATATAAAAAATATTTCCTATTTGTGTGAAGGACTGAATAAACGTGGATACTTCAAAAATTTTAGAATCTTCATATCTCACGGTGTAGTTTTGTAGTTTGAAAAAGGTAATATATTTGAAACTACCTTATATAAATTACTATAGAAAAATGGTTATACTGCTGCTGTGCATTTCATTTTCATAAATTATGCAATAGTAAGATTCAATTTACATTTTGAAAGAAAAAATATCTTATATGAAAGACTAAGGAAGAAAGAGTACATATTTTCTGCAAGTCCAGGGTGACCATTGTTTTAATATATCTTATGTGCCTTGCTGAATCCAAAAGGAGTGTGAATTACATAATGTATTCTATATGATGTTGAATTCATTAGAAGGTAGTGCCATACAAATGAGGCATGATTTGAAAAATTATAGCTAGATATATACATTATAAAGAATTTTTTCTATAAATTTCTTTTAAAAATGACTAACAAAAAAAATAAACAATCTGATTAAAAAATAGGCAGAGAATCTGAATAGACAGTTTCCCAAAGAAGACATACAGATGGCCAACAGGTACATGAAAAGGTGTTCAACATCACTAATCATCAGGGAAATGCAAATCAAAACCATAGTGAGCTATCACCTCACACCTGTTAGAATAGCTATTATCAAAAAGACGAGAAATAACAAGTGTTGGTGAGGATATGGAGAAAAGGGAACCCTTGTGCACTCTTGGTGGGAATGCGAATTGGTGCAGCCGCTGTGGAAAACACTATGGAGGTTCCTCAAAAAGTTAAAACCAGAACTGCCGTATGATCCAACTGCACTTCTGGGCATTTATCTGAAGGAAACAAAAACACTCTTGAAAAGATATCTGTACCCCCATGTTCATTACAGCATTATATACAATAGCCAAGACGTGGGAGCAACACAGGTGTCCATGGATGGACGAATGGATAAAGAAGATGTGATACACACACACACACACACACACACACACACACACACAGACACACACACACCAGAATATTATTCAGCCATAAAAAAGAAGCAAATCTTGCCATTTGTGACAACAAAGGTGGACCTTGAGGGTATTATGCTAGAAATGTCAGAGAAAGATAAATACTGTATGACCTTACTTATATGTAGAGTCTAAAAAACAAACCAAAAAAGAAAAAAACCAAACACATAGATACAGAGAACAGATTGGTGGTTGCCACAGGATACTCTAGGAAGAAGGCATTTTCTTGTCTTGGGCAGTGGGGAGTGGATGATGGGACACAAAAAGAACAATATAATTGAGAGGTGATATATGTGAAGGTGGAAGTGATGGATTCCATTTTGAGCTTACTAAGTTTGAAGTACCTATAGGACAGGAAAGAAAATGACATCGTAATATCTTATCTCATTATAGAATTTTATCACCAGACCAAGAAATGTTTCCTCATGTCCCATACATTCTCATCTGATTTTACTTAAGTCTATTTCTTCATCAACGTTCAATATCAACCTCAACACTTTACCCTCCTCCAGTCTTGTCTTCCTCAGAAAGTAATATTTAAACTGAAGGTTGGGGTGGGTGGGGGGTCCCAGCAGTGAGAACTGTGTGTTCAAAGACTTGTAAATAATAGAAACTCCAAATTTGCTATATAAAAGGGGCATAAGATGTCAGTCTCATTGGGAAAGGAAATTAGATGAAAGAAAAGGCTAGTAACTTTCTTTTGAAACTGCATTTGTCTAGCAGTTCACTCTTTATGTTTGTCTAGTGTGGGATGATTTGAATCTGTCTCTTTCTGATTCCAGATCCCGTTATATCCTATCTGAATACAAATTTTGATTTCTTCTACTATATCTAACTAGTGGTCCAGATTACTTTCTATCCTTTTTCCATACATTATTTTTCTTTATAATCACTTATTACTATTTTATATTGTGCATTCTTTTTTTAAATTAGCGTATGTTATCTGTCTCCAGAATGTAATCTTTCTGAGGCCAAGGACTTTATTCATTTTGTTCATTGTCCTAACATATTGTGTTCAGGTTTCTTTCATCTTTTCTGACTCTTTGTTCCAGATAAGTCATTTATTTAACTTTTACAATGTCACTTATAAGATGACTATTATTGGATAATTTGCACCAATGTATAGACAGTTTCCACCTGCAGTATAAGAGGAAAAATAAACTATTTCAAATTTTTCCTAAATAAAAACAGCATTCAGCCGTAACATAATTTTAAAGCTAATTTTGTGTTGGATTTAAAAAGCTTTACCAAAGTAAGCTTTGGTATAAAAGCAAGACTTGATAAATCAGAATTTATCCTGATTCTCAGCATAAATATTCCTCCATAATAGCCTTAATCATTTTTAATGTATGTATGTAAGACATTAGATTATTTTGCTTTTTAAAGTTGCAACTACTTGCTGAGGTTATAAATGAATGATCAGCACACAATCCTTTATGATAACTTAATCTTCCAAGTTTATTAATATTAATATTTTATATTTAGTTTTATAGCTTTCTTCTGATTAGAATTTAATAAAGAGAGGTTTTATTCATGTGAATATTGATGGCATTTGAATAAACTATGGGAGAATTACAGTATAATGCTGCTGGATACAGAATGATTCTTTCAGACACCAAGACTAATAATTTTTAACAATATCTAAAAACATTGTAGGAAAAGCTTGAACCATGCTGGCACCAGGGACAGACAGGCATGAAAGATTAATGTAATCTTGCATATAATGATGCACATTCTTACACAAAAAATCCATCTGCAGTGTCATGTCAGTCAGCAGAAATCTTTGATGGGTGGATACAGCTGGGCTGTCTCTTCTGGCAGAGTTGCTCTAGAAAATGCTAAATGTGGTTGGGATGCTTGGTGCCATCTGCAGTGTGCCAGTTTATCCCGTCTTCACTGGCATTTACAATACTGCATAGGGCATCAGGACTGCAGAGACAGCGATAGGGAGTGACAGATTCATTTCCTCAGAGGATGCGGCTCTGGTGGGCCTGTGCCACCCTCCTCCTTGGTGTTGGGTCTGTTATCATTGATGTTGGCTTTGCCTCATATTTTCACATCCAACTCCTCCTCTTTTTAGTCTAGCAGTTCCAGATACACATTCTTCTAGTATGTAAATCTTACACTAACCTTTCAACTAATTTATTCATGTAAGGTTGCCAAAGAAATTTAACATTGACTGTTTGATGCCAGCTAATATGCCTTATTTTCAAAATACTGCTGCTCTTAAGCTTCTGATTTAAAGGAAATGTGTCTTATTTAGGGAACACTAAACAGACAGGCACCAAGATAAATGATCTAACTGCTATGTGTGGGATATCCCCAAATGACTTATGTAGTTGGAACAAATATATAACCCTGTTTTACATAAAGCCATAAAACACATCAGGCAAGTAACACTTAATTCTCTTTCCGATGATTAAAATATAAATATTCAAGAATAAATGTTGTTTTATGACCTGACCATATGTTTATCATATTATTTTGCCAAACCAAGTTAAAAAGTGTAGATTATTGTTTAAAACTTGCACTTTTCTGTGTTTTTTTTTTTAATAGTAACACAATATGAAGGGCATGCTCTGTCACTGCTAAAGGAATGTGAACTACAGGGATTTGATGGGTAGGTTATATTATTAATCTGTATCTTCATATAGCTTATGTTATTAAATGTTTTCGTTAGTTTTTAGCCACATATTTGGGACCTATAATTCTTAAAAGATTGTGATGTATGTAATTAGGTTCTATTTCATTCATACTTGTGTAATAACAATTAACGATAATAATGATAATATGGCATAGTCATCCACTCTCAGGATTGGGTAGGAAAGCAAAAGGAGAGATCTAATTATAAGTACTGGCAAATCACAGGATACCACCTTATGCCTTCCTGATGTGCATACATTCGCATCTACAGTCCTTAATTCTTGGCTTTAACCATGTGAGTAGCTAGGAAAGCATTTATGGAAGATATTATATTGTTCATATGGCATGACTGTACTATGATTGTCATTTGCAAATTTATTGATAGTATTAATAGCTACCCACTGGTTAATTTGGCTATGATAGAGGATAAATATTTTATAAAAATAAATATATTATTTTCAGAATGAATAAAAGATGCTAATTTTAATTATCTTCTATAATGTAGTGCTACCAAATAAGTGTGTTCTTCACAGTTGTTTGCAATATATTGCTGGAGTGTGTAGAAATTGTTCACTGGCATGCAAACATTAGAAACAAGGCAAGTGACATATCCTTTAATACTATTTGTAGAAATTAGGCGAATCAATTTGCTATAGTGCTGAATCAATGTGTAAGACAAAAAACATATTCTTGTAGGGAAGGATTTTTGCAAGGGTGGATATTTCAGAATTTTAAATGGTGGCAAGTATGTGAATTATTCATGTCACATGGTGTTGGGCAGGGGTCAACAAAAGACTCAAGATCAGGAAGGGCAGTTGGGTCTTTCAACCGAAGTAAAAGGCTTTACTCTTCCCAAAGAGCTGTTAGAATGTTTTGGGGAGGAAAGTGACGCAATCAAAATGGAGCATTAGCAGGGTTGTTTTTCATAACTACTTAATACTTTTTGGAGAGAAAAAATAATAGTGGATGAAGAAGAAAGTTTGGTAAGTAAAACAATTTTTCAAAAAGGAATTTAATTGAGGGGGTAGATCTAGATGGCAGTATTATATAAATATTGAGGCTGAAGAGTATGAGGTAGGAGATTACTTCAGAGCTTTATACTTAGAGCTAGACAAATTGATTAATAGGCTACACTTAGGAAATTATCTTGCAAGTATACAATTTGAGAAAAGTCATTGGAGAAATCATGCCCACCAGCTGTCTACCTTAACATGATGCATAGTCCTGAACCACAGCTTTTGAGTATATGAGGGTGGCTGCGTTGCAAATAAGTCTTTGCTTCAAAGCAAAATTATATAAATAATGAGAATAACAGATATCATAGGTATTAGACCTGGTCTTGCCCTTCAACATTATGAAATGTTCCACTAAATATGATATCTATAAATGCGTTCTATTGGTAATTATACTATGGCAAGGATTAAGAACAACTTTGCAGAATGATGAAAGATGATTGCTCAAGTGCAGTGTAGTAATATTTTTCTCTTTATCTGAGCATAATTCTTGTTTATTTCATGTGGCACGTGTTGTTATTTGCAGTGTGGCACTAAAAGTTATATAATATATAGATCCCTGACTTATTACTCATATATTTTTTAACCAAATAATTTGGCCTAACCATTGTATGAATTGAGTTTCAATGACTTAACTGTTTCTGAACTCTAGCATGCTAATTTATTTAGGACATATGATAGTTTAAAATTTCTATTGAAAGTCATGTATTTTCTAAGATCCTTTAAATAGTTCATTTATTTTCACGGGCCCAGTTTTTCGAGTAGGAGCTGATATGGTGGTTGGGGATAACTATCTTAATAAAATGGTAATTTCAAGTTACTCTATTTAGAATTACATAGAGAGATATTTGAGGAGAACAATGGAAACATTGGTTCTTTAGGCACTTCAAAAGAACAATTCTCTAACAAATAGAATTGTTTGAAAATGAAATTCTCTGCATTCTTGAGTTCCCTGTACTTGAATCTGTTTAAAGAGTGGCTATAGGAGTACTTTTTGAGAAGTGTATACAAGAGACTCAAGGATGGGATAAGGTGACCCCAAGATTCTGTTGGATGAGAGAGGGGCTCACATTCTTTCAAGGACTCAAGCCTGAAGCATCTCTGCCCGACTCTAGTGGAGCTATTGATAGGGAGTGATTAGAAAATCATCTAAAGGTTTTTGGACACACCAGAGAGGTTAAGGTCCAAGAAAGAGTCTATGTACATTATTCAGTAGGGCAAAATGATTAGGTAAATAATGTTTAAAAAATGTTATTTGTTAAGATCTTGGAGTTTTTTAATGAGTTACATGTGTTTCTGTGAAAACATATTGTGACATATTTCTAAAGCCAACAGGAACAGTATATCAGTACTCATGACAGTTGGTGTGCAACTCCAGTGTGTTCTAGTAAACACTCTCAGATCCATTGCAAAAATTTGTAGGAGCATCAGTTTCCATATTGCCTCCTACATACTGGGCATGAACAAAAAGTTTTGTAAAGGCAAGAGAAAGTGTAATAGCAGGTGCATAGACTTGAAACAGTTGAATTTATAAGTGTGAATACAGTTAAGTTCATCTATAGCTCTTATGTAATTATAAATATACTAATATTTTCCTTTCTTATTTCACACTGTTTTTTAAATTTGAATTGGTTGATTTACACAGTTTTTTTTTCTTTTGTTAATTTCATTGTTAACTAGACCCACAATAATCTAGACATTTTTTGGCTAACATTGACATTTTATCACCTTGACCATGATATTTGTATTACTAAGTAAGGTTGAAAAAAAAGTGTCCTTTTTCAAAAAAGAAAAAGTTTAAATCAAAAATTCAATAATATATTAAACATTTCAAAGATGATATTGGTTGATAGATAAACACCCACATAAAATTTTCTTAATCACTTTTTATAAAGAGAAATGAGATATTAGCCCCTAGTTGTACTTTTCTAGACAGAATCATTCTACATGGGGTCATGGCAAGAAGGAGTTTACTTATTCTGAAAGCATAAGATATACCACGTGCAAAGGATTAGTTACACTGAAGTTTATATTTTAGGGTAACTCTTAAGTGTGGTTAAGTTAACTTATTATAAAAGCTGGAATTTTTTTTTTTTAACTTATAGCATCCAGACACTTGTGATATGTTTATATTAAGTATATTTTCTAGGTTGAATAACTATACCTGGAGATAATCTTAATGACCTAGTAGTTGTCACCAAAAATAAATGTATTCCTTCCTCACTCATTCACTTCCACATTGGTTCTACTGGTAAACTGATTTTCAAAATAATAAAACTCTCATAAGGCTATTTTCGTTAGGGTTCATATATAGGAAAGGAGTATAATATATTGAATAGAGTGCAATCTCTAAGGCCAGTTGTCTTGCTTCAGATCCTTATTCTATCACTTATGATGGTGCGACCTTGGGAGAGTTACTTAATCTTTCTATGCCTTAGGTTCCTAATCTGTAAATTGAGGGTAGAAGTATCTATTGCATACAGTTATTGTTCAAATTAAATGAGTTAATATACAGAGGGCACGGAGAACAGTGCCTGGTACAGTAATTCACTAAATGTTACTTTATTATCATCATTTGTTATAGTTTCAAAATGTTTAACACATCATGTATTATGACAAAATTTCAAGGGTTTTTGTAGCGGAGCATGTTCATAGACAGGCCATCTCTGCTAACTCGAGCAATGGGTTAACATGTCCACAATGCTATAACTGGATGCAGGATTCCAGGGGTGACATGCTGCCATACTCTATGGAAGAGTCAAGTTCTTTGGTGCTAAGTTAGTTCCTTTGTTGGGTGACTTATGTGCTCCTTTTAGGGACACGCACCACAGCAGGTAGACAGGCATGGATCTGGGAGTTATAACTAAGTTCACACAATGTTTGGAAATTTGCTCATAGAGAGCTTTGAAATCATACAGAGAAGGTTCGAATCAAACTTTGGCTTCCCCATTTATAAAGATGAGGCTAAAGCCTATTTACAGAATTCTAAGGATTTGATAGAAAAGAGCCAATGTATTATCTGACATAAAGTTGGCCCTCAGTAAATATAACTGTTTTTCTCTGAATCAGTGGCCACTTTATGAACCCCTGGAATCAATTCAGACATGAAATAATACCCCTAGCCAAAAGTGGGACCTGAGTCATATGCCGTATCCTGGAGTCACTTCTAACTATGTGCCCCCATAGAGCTGAACCTCGGCTAGGTGCAGGAGCTGGAAGGCTGAGAGCGGGGTGGAGGGAGCTGATGGAAAAGAATACCCTCAGCCTCTGGATTCATCAACCTCTGGAGCTTTTTAAACTTAGGAAACCAGTAACACCTGCTGATTATGCCCCATAGGCTGTTTTGTTTGGCACGTAGACTTTTTAAATATACAGTCATGCGCTGCATAATGACATTTCAGTCAATGAAGCACTGCATATACAATGGTGGTCCTGTAAGGTTAGTAGCCTATGGCCTAGGTGTGCAATAGGTTATACCATCTAGGTTTGTGTAAGTACACCCTATGATGTTTGCACAACAACGAAATTGCCTAATGACACACTTCTTAGAACGTGTCCGTGTGGTTAAGCATCACATGACTATATTAAATGCGAGTTGCTAGTATTTACAAATTAGGAGACTCACCCAAAAATCAGGATCTGTGGCTTCACTACAAAAATCAGAAGATGTGGTCCTCTAGGCCTGCCTCCCAGATGATGTGAGTGGGCTGGAGCTGAGAAGCTGCGTCTCCTTTAGACTGACTGTACTCTTCCATTCCTGCTGGGCCCTTGTAGGCCTTGAGTTGTGACACCTGCTTTCAATAACACAAAATATTCCTCTTTCTTGGGTAAATTGATGTGATTTTGATACATAAGATTATTTTGCATCCTTCTAATACAAATGATTATGAAACAAATTTCTGATATGGTATTATATTCGTGGATTCCCACCCCCGCTCTCCCATAGTCTACTTATCATGAGGTCTAAAAAAAATATTAGCAGTACCAACTAGGGTCAAAGTGTAGTGACACTAATTCTAAAAGTGCCATATAGTGGCAGGAGATGAAAACCAGTTCACATTAGCAATTATTATATTCATATACTAATGATAATTAACAATTCCTTAAATTAAAGCTTCATATTTTACATGATTTTTATTGCTGTCTGTCTTTTCTAAGCTATATTGAAAATGAGCAGGATTTTATGTCTTTGGTTTGTATTAATTAAATAAATTGCCCATGACTATTATTAACGTAAACAAAATGAGAATAATATGCTTTTGGATATTAACAGAGCAAAATGCAAGTCAGATGTGAATTAACATGTTCAAATGTTTTAATGCCTCTTAAACCATTTAAAAATATTTTGTTTGTGGGATAACATCTTGGTATTATATTTATGAAATAAACTTTACCAGTGCAGTGCTAGTGTCTTCTATCCACTGACACATACTAAAATGTTTGAGGTGCGTGAGAGCAATCATGCACATAGAATATATAAGATTAATATTTTGAAGTTTAGATTTCGTGAATTATTACCAATTACTTTGAAGTTTTGCATTCTTTTACTTAATTTCTTGTTTTCTAGTGTCGTCTGTGTTGGTGGAGATGGATCTGCCAGTGAAGTAGCCCATGCTTTGCTTCTTAGAGCCCAGAAGAACGCTGGGGTGGAAACAGACAGCATCCTGACTCCTGCGCGAGCACAGCTTCCGCTTGGTGTAATACCAGCAGGCAAGAGAGTGGCCATGGATCTGCTAACTGGCAGCTCTCCTCCTATCTTTCCCTATTTACTTCCTAACCTAGATAGTATAACACCGAGCTAAATGCACAGACTTTGAGTCTGAAAGACCCAAGCTTGCTATCACGGCTAGCAAATGTGAGACTTTGGACAAGTTATTTAATTTCTTTGAGCCTCATTTTTTCTAATCTGTAAAAGATAACACACATAATATTCACTTCATTTCAAGGTTATTGTAGTATTAAATTAGATGGTTTATGTGGAAGGTTTAATACATAGTTAAGCAATCAGTGAATGGGATTATTATTATTCTGCCTTCCCATATAAAGGTCTAATGGTCACACAGTACCAGATATGAAATTTCAAAACAGGGCCACTCCTGGCAAGCTGCTTACAATTCCATATAAGGTAAAATGTGGTAACTCCCATAATCGAAGTATAAACAGGTAACCGTAAGAATGCCAAAAGGATTCATTCTGACTGCTATATCTCCAGAAGCTAGAAAAGAGTAGGCTGTGACACAGGGATGCTCAGTAAAATTTATTAAGTGAATGAATGTCAAGAAAACATTACAGAGTAAGTAACACTTGAATTCGGCCATAAAATGGACAGGATCTGGCCTAAAAAGACAAGAATAAGTTATTTTCTTGGCTGCAAAAAATGATAAATGCCAAGGCAAAACCCAAGAGTGTTAAGGAATAGAAGATGAGCCATTTGTTGGGTGATAATGGTGTCAAAATAGGCTCCAACTGTGGTGGCTTCTGGATGCCACGGGAAGGGGTCTGAATTGCAGTTGATAAACAGTAAGGATCAATGGGAGGTCTAGAGCAAGGGAGCAATCTGCTGGGAGCTGCTTCTAGGAGGATTTGTGATTAGGGGAAGGGAGCAGGAAAAAGTGGAGATCAGAGCTGGGGGGTACCCCTCAAGCAACACTGGGATCCAGAAAAGAGGAAAACATCTGTCATAAGTTTATTATGTTATAGGAGTTGCTCTTCCTAAATTATTATTTAAGCAAATGATAGTGAAGGAAAGTGATTATTTCTTTTCATTTATCTCGACAAGAGAAGCAGAAACAATTATTCTTTCCTATGAAAGTAGAAAATAATGCACATTGTTGACAAAAATTCAACATTCTATCCAGTTGATAACCACATTCATTTAGTATGGATTTCAGTATATTTAGTATTGTTAATTGACAAAGAAGAAAAGATATACAAATGCCTTTTTAAAGTATAAAGGCTTTCATAAAAACAAGAATTTAAAAGAAGGGAGGGATATCCAGATATATCCTGATAATTGTAAAGTGTATAGAGAAAAACCTGTGATGGTCTTTAAGTAGAAGAGAACAAAATAACCTCAACTCGAAAAGGAAAAAGGATGCACTGGGGGCCAGCCACTTTGACCTTTTCAAGTAGTTCTGTCTATAATGGTGAACTCTTTCAACATTTGCCTCCATGCAAAGTAGGTCACTGTTTCTCTTCATCAGTACTTACACTCCCGAGGTTACTCATAAACTGCCGTGCATCAAAAATGGAAACATGGTTGTCCCAACAGGTAGGCATTCAACATAAAATGAAGAGTTGGCTAGAAAAACTGGTGGTTACGCTTATCTTTTTAATATGTAACTCAGGTTTTATGAAGGAATAGCATTGAGTTTTATCATTATTATACTTTTTAAGCATATCTCTCATTTTGAAAGCATTTTCTATATACAGTGGATATGTAGAAATGCCACTTGAATACTTTTTGTTTAGAAGGTATAGCCTGTTGCCAAAACTCTGGTCATTGTGTAGGAGTTCCAGCTTATGAACTCTATCTAACAGGAGGAGGAAGTCGTGTACGGGATGTGTTTAATATGAGGACTCTATGCCTAGTCAAGGCTTTGATAGAGAATGGGAACAAGAGCTAGGCAGGAAGTTTCCAAGCTGAACACAGAAGATAGTTGCCTTTGAAGCCATTTGCCTCCTGGAGAGAGACACCCAGAGGGAGAGTGTTTAGTAAATTACTCCACTGAGCCAACAGACTAAGCTGCTGAATTATGGTCAGACTCAGATGGATCAGATGCGGGGAAGCCTGTATTTGAACTGCTGGCCATTAGCAGTGGTGTTTGTTGCTATGGGAACTGGTACTAAGGAACTATACAGAGAGATTCCGATTAAAGGGATTGGGGAGGACAGGGGAAAAAGCTAGAGAGGACATAAAAATAAAAAAGCAATCGAGTTGTTGTAAAACAAGGCTCAATCCACATACTGATGGCTGCGAACCATATATTCCTATAGAGTTCACATAAATAAATTCATGCTTTCCAATTAATTTTAAGAGAATAAAATATTGCCAAGGGACTGTTAATTTCTATGATATTTCAGGCAAAGAACCAAAGTGTAGGTGCAGTTTCCATGAGAATTTTAGATATGCTTGACTGGGAAGTCATTACATCACATTTATCTGTTTGGATGTGGGAGACATTAACGGCCTTATGAATATTCATGATGTCTGGTTAATTAAGTTAATTGTTCTGCAGAAGTGCTTGCACTTCCAAGGACAATTTTTTTCTTTCCTTTTTTTTTTTTTTTGGTCTCTCTAGTTTCCACCTAGTACTTTCATCAGTCATTTTTTACATGAACTGCTACTTCTGTCCTTTACTCTTTGTATTTGGCACGTTTTAGCAGATCTGGGGAGGTGGTGGTGAGCAAAGTTGCTGGTAGTGTTAGGAAGAATAACTTTTCAGGCTAATTAAAATGTTTACCTTGAGGTGGAACATTTATAGCTTTTGTGAGAATGCTAAAATTACATGGTTGTTATTTATGCAAGCAGCATGTTCTTTTGGCATGTAGACATCTTTTCAGATGGATCACATTTTGTTTCAGGAAATTGTAATCTATCTTTTAGATTATCCAAACAAAAAAATAGAGCAACCTATAGTTGTACAATTTTACATCCGCTTTCCTCATGAACTTTCCTTTTAATTCAGAGTGTAAACAACAGTTCTTAAGGACTGAGGTACAGGTTAATCAGAGTAGAAGATGACTCCAGTAATTTTCTGACTTCTGGTCCTGCCTATCATCACTGCCAAGTTCTATGGCATTAATGAAAAGTTGTTGCAAAGCCTGAGAAGACATAAAAATTAAAAAGTCATCTCTAGAGCCAGCCCTGATGGTCTAGTGGTTAAAGTTTGGTGCTCTAACCACTTCAGTGGCCTGGGTTCAGTTCCCAGTTGCGGAACCACACCACTTGTCTGTCAGTTGCCATGCTGTGGCAGCGGCTCACATAGAAGAACTAGAAGGACTTACAACTAGAATATACAACTATGTACTAAGGGCTTTGATGAGGCAAAAAAAAAGAGGGGAAGATTGGCAACAAATGTTAGCTCAGGGCGAATCTTTCCCAGCCAAAAAATAAATAAATAAAAAGAATAAAAGGGAGCTTTAAAAAGAAAAGTGATCTCTAGCATTCTAAAAGGATTTGTGCTTGGGCATGCTTAGCGTACTTCAAACTCACTGGGAATAAATGGTCTTTATTTTCTTGAGTCATGATATGTGTCATTCTCTATTGCACATGACAACATTACATTATGTTTTTTAATAGCCTTTCTAGAGGAATGCTTTTATGGTCTACTCCTAATTACCCATGGTAATGGAGGAAATGTGTTTCATGGAGGACTGTAATCCATTGATAATCCTAAATATCTCACTCTAATTATGTGGCCTCTTCCGAAACCTTTACCATAAATCTGACTGGGAAGCAAAGTAGATTGATTTGTTTCCTCTTTTTTCTCCCACCCGTTTCAGATTAATTAGCAATTACATGGCCAAAGGGCAGGCTGTAGAGGGTCAAAGGATAATTGGAAAGGCCTAGGTAATTGACTCCTAGGTAAAGATCTATTGAGTAACGGGTTTCTGGACCACTTGTTCTCAGACCTTAGGGTGTATACGAATCACCTTGAGAACCTGCTGAAACTTGGACGCTTGGGCCCCACTCCCAGACATTTCCATTCCATGGGTTTGAGGTGGAACCCAGAAATTTGCCTTTTTAACGAGCTCCTGGGTACTGCTGATCCCTGGACCATACATTCTAGAAGAGAGCCTCTCCAAGTTTCTGTACGTACACGTAACCTGAGGCTCTTATAAAATGCAGACTCTGACTCAGTAGGGGTGGAGTGGGGCCTGAGAGTCAACATTTTAATAAGCACCCTGGAGGCCAGCCCTGGTGGCCTAGTGGTTAAGTTTGGCACACTCCACTTCAACGGCCCAGGTTCGGTTCCTGGCCGTGGACGTACACCACTTGTCTCAGTGACCATGCTATGACAGAAGCTCATAGACAAAAAAAAAAATACAGGAACATGGGCAACAGATATTAGCTCAGGGTGACTCTTCCTCAGCAAAAAAAAAAAAATCACCGAGGTATTGTCATTGCTGCTGGACAGTGGGCCATATTCTGAGTAACAAGGGTCAGGCCATAACTTGTCTTTTGATGAGTCAGAACCAGTTTACCAATTGGTTAAGGTGAACTTGTCTTTGTATTGTTATTACTAGAGGTCTGGAAATCATTAATGCTTAGCTAGGTTCCTAGTAATTATTGTTATTTTAGTGACAGTCTTGGTTGGTAATGTCTGAGTTGGCTCAGCTTCTCCAACTGAGCAACCCAAGGACACCTCAGTTCAAAGTGACACAAATTGAAGAGATTACCTCTGACCACACAGGAATGTTCCTGATCAACAAATCCAGGGGGCTAGCCTTTGCCTTGATAGCTATAGTATATATGTAGTATATACATATATATATATATGTAGTATATAACATCCATGCTTTTACAGCTCTCGGCTGTTACTGGATTTCTTTGTCATATTCTTTAATTCAAGAAAAATTGTAGCTTCTTAATTTTAAACCCTTTTTACCTCCTGGGAATGTGAGGCACTAGCTGGTATTTTCTCCTTGGGAAGCAAGCCTTTACCCCAAGATCTCAGAGACACATAGATATTACAGGGGCCTGACTGGAGAGAGCTCTTTCCTTCTGGAGGCTGGTGGGAAAAATTCATGTGCCCCTTAAATTATCCTAATTGATTATGAAAATCAGAAATCTATAATGTACCAGTACAGACTTTCATACCATAGCAAATACCATGGAATTAAGTATTTTCTTCATCTCAGATACCGCTTGTCAGATAATAGAGGGAAATACTCGTTTGGATGAAAGCTTATCTCTAAGATTCGTTAAATGTATTTAAAGCGTGTCTTTTGTACTTTATAGTGATTTGTAATCTTTCTTAGTTGTTATTTGGATTTTTATTATTTATTTATGTATTTGTCTCTGCTCAACAGAGACACCCTTCTGTTGGTACTCATTTTGGTATAGAAGTTAGAAGCTCATTCATTAAAGTGGGATGGAGTAGGTTTTGATATAGCTAATATTTTTTGGTAGAAAATAGATATTCATGATGGAAAAAGCTGTGAGCAAGTAGATACTATGAAATATTTTCTAATTTTTAAATTGTTTAAAGATTAAACAATAATTTAACAACCATTTGATGTGCCTCTACACTGTGAATGAAAACTTATAAACTTCCATTAATTTTACATCTGAACATTGCATAGTGACATCTGTATAAAGTAAGAGCAAATAGTTAATTTAAAATATATACTACGTTGATTGTACATGTTTTAAAATTGATTTGGCAGGCTCTACTAACATATTGGCACATTCTCTTCATGGAATCCCTCATGTGGTAACTGCAACTTTGCACATTATAATGGGTAAGAAGTCTTGCAAAGAAATTTGTGTTTTATAAGGAAGGTTTTATTTATATAAGGAAGGCTATTTTATTTTTGTCAGACTTGACTAAGGAAAGACAGGTTCTTGTCTCTCAAAACAGAAAAATGTTTGACGGAAAACCAAAAGTCAGTTGGGCAAAGCTTCACTATTTGGACTGCCTGTCTTTTCAAAATACAGTTGCTATAAAGAGCAATAAATGAAATTTTACTCTAATCTTGACAGCAAAAAAAATATTGTAATGATGTTCAAGATCACAATTTTAGAACCAGATCAAGAAAATCCATGTGTCCTAAGTATATCAGATACTGTTGTTTGACTGTACCAAGACTCTAGGGCTATAATTATGTTATTAAAATAAAACTCAAGAAAAAATTTTTAAGCCAGAGCAGGTCCACTAGACCTTTCATTATCCCAATTGATGGAAAGTATGTAAGCTCAGATAAATGCAGTGCAAAACTACTGTTAAATCTGAGTTTGCTTTGCACATGTACTTCAACTTCACTTCCTTAACCATGTCTCATATGACCTAGAAATAAGCTGAAGAATTTCATGCTTTGTGTTTCTTCTCTTAGTACCTGAGAAAGTCACAAATAGCAATTGCAGTAGTTGTAAGTAAAGAGAGATAAAAGGAAGCAAGGATATTCATTGTGGTATAAAGTTCTTCTATAAGTAAATATGCCCCTCTATCTTTGCCATTTTGACAACTGGCCCTACTTCTCTCACTGATTGACTAATATTGAATATGATATTCAAGGGCACGTACAACCGGTCGATGTCTGCACCTTCAGCACCTCTGGCAAGCTTCTTCGCTTTGGATTCTCAGCCATGTTTGGCTTTGGCGGAAGAACTTTGGCTCTGGCAGAAAAACATCGGTGGATGTCCCCCAACCAACGGAGGGATTTTGCTGTAATTAAAGCATTGGCAAAACTTAAGTAAGTCTTTTGTTTTCTTAAACCAAATATTTTGTATCCCAGAGTCAATGACCTGTTAATAACAAATTTCATTATATTTTAGGCCAGAGGACTGTGAAATATCATTTTTACCATTTAACAGCTCTCAGGATCTACAAGAAAGGTAGGTAAAAAGCTCAAAGTATTTTAGACGTCTTTATCTTTCTTTAAAGCATAAAACAGTTTGATATAAACAATTTATTAGACGAGATCTTTGGTTGTTTTTCTAACATACTAGTGAAGAATATGGAATTGTGGAGTCCTACACATTCTAGTAGGCCATGTAGTTTGGCTTATGTCCTCAGAAACAGCCATTCCCTCTAGCCAGCCAGCCACCCATTCATTCAACAGCTGTTTATTGAGTGCCTACTATATGCCAAGCACTTCGCATACAAAAATAAGCCAAAAAAACTAACAAACAAATAAAATTCATAGTTTCTGCTGTCATGAGAATTTCAGTCTAGTAGGAAATACAAATATTAATCAGAGCCACACAAAGGAAGTGCTCTAGTCTTTAAAAAAAAAAAATTGAAAATCATTGTTATCGATGATGCTACCTTTAAATGAATCAACATCATAAATGCAGTAGCAGCGTTGTTCACATATTTTCACTTACTGTCTAATTAATCTAAAAATATTTAATGTATGTAATGTTGAGTTCTCTAATTTTCTGATATTTAATAGATGCTCTTTTTTATGTGATGTGTTTTTGTTTCTTTGTTTTGTTTTCTTTTAGGAGGGCACAGGAAACTCCCAAATCTGGTGAGTCTAAGGGACCTCCTTGAGAACTGAGCCAGGATCTGTTAACATTTTGCTCTGGTGAGGGAAAGTAACCCATCACTTCCATTACCTTTAGACCGTAATGAACAGTGGCAAATGATCCAGGGTCAGTTCTTGAATATCAGCATTATGGCAATTCCTTGCCTATGTTCAGTGGCACCTAGAGGCTTGGCACCTAATACCAGGTTAGTAAGCGTTTTTATTGAATCATTGGTATTTTTCTATAAAACAAAATTTTCTTTCAGAAAACCCCCCTAATTCTTGGCTAGCTAGAATATTAAGAGGTATTTTCTCTTTGACTGTATAATATTAGAGATTTTAAGGTATTTGTCATCAGAGTAGGTAAAGAACAACTGTTAAACTGGAAAAATTATCAGACAATCACTCTGATTTTTTCTTTTTTTTTTTCTTTTTTGTGAGGGAGATCAGCCCTGAGCTAACATCCGATGCCAATCCTCCTCTTTTTGCTGAGGAAGATTGGCCCTGGGCTCACATCTGTGCCCATCTTCCTCTACTTTATATGGGACGCTGCCACAGCATGGCTTGACAAGCGGTACATCAGTGTGCGCCTGGGATCTGAACCTGCGTACCCCAGGCTGCCGAAGCGGAGCACGCACAGTTAACCACTGCGCCGGCCCCCACTCTGATTTTTTAATATCACTGAGGTTAAAATAATATCCCTTGGGTTTTATTGACATGGTTTTATTGTGTTATTTTATGCCTACTTGCTTGCTTTATTTATTTATGTTTGTTTACCAGTTATTGGGAACATTGTATTTAATTCTGATATTTCTTATGAATGTCTTTGCTTTCCAGTTTTGAGGCAGAGATAAATATCCTTAGTATGAAAAGCGTGTATGTGGCTATATATGATACCTTTAGTCAAAGGAAACATTTCAGTTATATTTAGTGTGAATAATGGTACATAAGAATGTACTGCCCACATTTATTTATTTTATTTATTTATTTATTTATTTTTTATTGATGTTTTAATAGTTTTTAACATTGTGACATTTTGGTTTGTACATTTTGGTTTGTCCATTACCATATATATGACTCCCTTCACCCCTTGTACCCACCCCCCACCCCCATTGCCCCTGGTAACCACAATACAGTTTTCTCTGTCCGTGTGTTAGTTTATATTTCACATATGAGTGAGATCATACGGTGTTTGTCTTTCCTTCTGGTTTACTTCACTTAACATAATACCCTCCCATAATACCAAGCCCATCCATGTTGTTGCAAATGGGACGATTTTGTCTTTTTTTATGGCTGAGTAGTATTCCTTTATATATATATACCACATTTTCTTAATCCAATTGTCAGTCGAGGGACACTTAGGTTG